TGCAAAATGCTCCAGGCTTTTAATAACAATTTTGCTTAAATATGTTAACGGTACAGATTTTCAGACAGTTTCTCTCTTGTATGGCTCTGCAGACCAGTCAAGTTTGAGGCTTGAGGCAGACCAGACTACAAAACGTGTAGGGGCTAGAAAAGCGCTATATAAATACAGACCATTTAGATTTCAGTAAATTGCAGATTGCAGTCACTTCAATTCTGTTTTCTTATTCCTCCTAGTTTGAGTGCATAATCCTTGCTATAACGGCTGCTATACAACAAACATGTTTTAGTCAGCCAAGTGATATCACAAACATTGAAATCAGCCTGAATCCCATAATTTTCAAGTGGCATATTTCTTCTGCTGTTTGTGTAAAAATCTGTATATTTTAACGTATTTGAACCGAGAAGGCTGACAGAGAAAGTTCTATTTGCCAAATAAGACTGAAACCAATTAAGTGCAGTGCCACCAATACCCACTACATCATTTAATCGAGAAATTAGAATATTGTGGTCTACTGTGTCAAAGGCAGCAGTTAAGTCAAGCAAGACCAGAACATTGTGGTTACCAGAATCAAATGCCAGTAGGATGTCATTAAAAACCCTTAATAATGCAGATTCTGTGCTATGTATTTAGTTATAAATACTATATACACCATATACACATGCAGAACCCAAGAAAATCAAATGAGATAAAAAAAAAATAAAAATAAATACTGTTCACACTTTTTCAGGTTAGAAAAGCACAAACAAAATTATCTCCAAAAGCTCATTTCAAAAGCAAAAGAGAGTTCAGTTGAAGATACAAAAAAATAGAAAAGTTGCGAAATAATCACTGTGTCAGTCAAATAAAACATAAGAGAACCAATGAAGATATCCAAGATGCAGCACAAACAGAGTTTCCATGAATGAAAATGAACCTACCTTCAAAAACAAGTCGAATAAGTCCTTGTTCACCTGAAGAGTACTCTTTTCCCCACTGTAAACAATATTCGATCCTATAGGAGTATTGTTCTGTGTCACAATGGCGTTGTCAAAGCCATTGCATGTAACTCTCAGATTAGTTCTGTAAAACAACAAACACTCAGTTAACACTGACTGACAACAAAAGGAAAGGTCAGTAATCTGTTTCTGAATGTCATGGCAAGGAACAATATTTTTTTCTGTTTATCATGTTCACTGGAAAGATAACACTCGACAGAGAGATAACATGGAAGGACACCTACAGACAGTGTTGGGAAGGTTACTTTTAAAATGTATTCCGTTACAGAATACAGAATACATGCCCCAAAATGTATTCTGTAACGTATTCCGTTACGTTACTCAATGA